GGGGGGGAATGAGTTGTTGAAATGGAGAGGCTGATTTGAAAAAGGAGGGACTTAAAACTTTCTGCATAGGTATCTGAAATCCACTTTGGTTTGTTAGTTGTTTAGAAACACTTGACATGGTAATTGGACTATGACTTACTGGAGCCACCGATGAAAATTATGTTCTTATCACGTAAAAGTTGTTGAGCATCCTCGCCAGAGAAAACGTCAGACATTCTTTCATCACTTTGTATGACACCAATTTTATCACTGCCAAATATTGAAGGATTAACTTCAGATTCCTCGATTTTAGGAGATCACATGGACCATCAATAAACTAGAGGCTCCTAAGCTACCGGACAATACTACACACTTACTTCAATTCCCCCGGTATACTTTGGGAAAAACCAACGACGGCACTCGTGAGAAAAGTGTTCCAATTTCTGAGAGATTGTTTATACATACAAAGATGGATGATAGATAAAGATCTCGAATTGCGCTTCACAGCAGGTGAAAATAGTGTGTAATAATTGATCGACTGATAAAAAAAATGATTAGTATCAGTTTATCTTCCATTTCTTGAACTGATAACAGCGCGGCAAAACAACAATAATAATGATCCAAACACAAACATAACCTCAAACGCAACACTGCTGCCAGACTGCTGCGCTGCGAAGTTGCCAAACGGCAGGGTTGCAATGTTTCATGAAAAATAAAATCTTTAAATTTCATGTAAAATAATTCATGTTCAGAAAAATATGAAAGTGCAATCCAAGTGTATCTAATTAATTTCAATAATAAAAATTTGAAGCTGGTAAGTGAAAGCAAATGAAATCAGAACTAGAACGAGGGCCTCGCCAACCTAGATAAATTAAAAAGAACAAAAAAAATGTAGGTAACCTATTTTGATACAAATTTGTTTATTGTCTTTACCATAATATAAAAATGTTATTTTAAATTAAATATGTAAAACTGACTCATCCACACGAGTTAAACTCACGAATGAGTTAAGTTGATCTGAACTATTTTTGTACACTTGAAACGAGGGCCGGATTTACCTACTTTTGCCGCCCATGCCCATGGGCCGCCTGTATTTTTCCTTCCCCTTCTCATTCGTTAAGTGAACATGCAGGTGGGGGAGGGGTGTATTATGAGACGCGTTTACTCGTGTTGGGTTCATTTTTGGTGAAAGCCCAGTCAACACTAACAAAAGTTCACAGAACTTTACGCGAAAGTTAAGTACTGAAAACCCAACCCTGCCTGGACGACGCCTTCCATTTAAAACAAACGAACGAGAAAATTATGAAACAACAAACATAAATGTGGTTTAATAATTTTAACTTCCGCCGCTGCGCCGACCGTACTGTGTTTGGCGCAATGCGTGAAGTATTCATGCAGTCTTGTAGGCGCTATGCGTTTCAAGCCGACTGCTGCTGACTGCAGTGTGCTAAGCGTGTATGTGACTGCAATGCGTGAAGTATTCATGCAGTCTTGTAGGCGCTAATATGTGTTACATGCCGACCACCGCGCCGAGGGCTTCTCCTTTTCATCTCACGTCCTCGTCAACATTGCTCTCTGAGCCGCCCCGCGGCTCCGCTCAAGGTCAAAGTGCGTGTTTGGTTTCTCTCTTAACTCGACTAATTAAAGGTGTTGTCTCTTGTATCACCGAAAGACGACAAAATTAGAAGTTACATATACTATTCCCTCAGGAAATGAAAAATTTTGTCGCCTTTTCTCGTTTGTATTTTATTTTCTGAATCCGATTTTTCCTTCTGTTTTTTGATACCTACATTCAAAAAGATTGCAAATTTTGTCGCCCCCTACATTTTGCTGCCATGGGCCGCGGCCCATTTGACCAGGGTCGGACTGGCTCGCATCTGAGGGCGTCGACCCTTGGCTGGTTAAAGGGGCGTAATGTGATATTTCCTGGTAAGGCATCCCCTACGTGGAGAGGGGTTCAGAAATTTTTGGCAAAGCAGCACAAGGTTTACGCTATTTTCAGGTTCAAAATTTATTAATCGTACCTACACAGTAAAAATTGCAAAATAATTGAACGTATTGAAGTAAACCGACCGACTTCTGAAATTAAAGAAACCATGAAAAATTAAAGCCACTAGACGCATCCAAGCACCATTATTTCCAAAAAACCCGAGCCAGTGCTGCGATTTACACGAGCTCTAGGCAAGGGTCTACAAATCCATGATAAATAAAAAAGAATCAGACAAGAACCTGAAAAAAGAAGAGAGAACGAGTATCAACACAGCCGAAGATAGGAAAGACGTACTCGGGCCTCTTTTTTAACTTTCTTCCGAATCTGAGCGACGCCTAATTGACAGCATATAACCGAGCATTGAGAGCTCACGCGTCGCGTCATCGCGCCTTCAATTTTTCAGATGCAGCACGGACGTCCATCAAGTACGAATAGTTGTATCTCTGCGCCGTCGTTAACGATCATCCTTTCCCTCGCTGTATTTCCATACTGTGTTTGTTTCCGTTTGTCTTAATCGTAATTGTGCTTCAAGCACTACGTGAGTAACACAGCCGAAGGTAGGAGAGATGTGTTCGGGTCTCTTCTTTAACTCTTCTACCGAATTTGAGCGACACCTCATTGACAGCAAGCAGAGCAGTGAGAGCTCACGCTTCGCATCATCGCGCCTTCAATTTTTCAGATGCAGCACCGACGTCCATCAAGTACGAATAGTTGTATCTCTGCGCCGTCGTTAACGATCATCCTTTCCCTCGCTTTATTTCCATATTGTGTTTGTTTGCACTTGTCTTATTCGTAATGGTGCTTCAGACTAGTAGCATAGAGCAGAACATTACGAGTTCACGACTCACGCCATCGCTTTTTACATTTTTCATATGCAATGTGGACATCCATTTTGCGCGAATAGTTACATCGCGTTTACACTTTAGATGTCTCTTATTTTTGAATTTCGAGATAAATTAAAGTTAAGTTTGCCCGCTACATGCTATGGTATGTCCAAATCAATAGTCATTTTGAAAAGGAAGAAATATGTTTAAAGGTCTCTCAAGAGGTCTATAAAGGGCGCGTGCTTACGTCTAAAATTCGAACCGACCATCGCTTCTGAGGGAGTTACATATAGCGAATGAAGGAGGGTTATGATAAAGCGCCTGTATGTCAAAAAAAGGTGAAAGTTTCACAGAAAAGTGTTTACGCTTCAGAAAGTAGTTATTGGACCTCTGTTCACCACTACTATGCGTAAAAGCACCTTTCTTTACTTCCAGCTCTCTCTTCTTCCGTTCATTTAAGAAATTTTTCGCAGATATTCTTGATCGTAATTTTTTTCTCTTCTTATTCTGCTATGTGTCAGAGGGGCGCGTTTTCGGCTAGCCAAGGGGGCGTATCTGCTAATGGCAGATTGGCTTTATTGCCAGTCCGAGCCTGCATTTGACCATCCCCTTAATCCGGCCCTGCCTGAAATTGAAGAAAATAAATGAATTGAATCGAAAGATATTGAATAATATTTTTCGAAATTAAATGAAAGGCAGATAGTTTTTGCTTTTCGTTGTTTATTAGTGCGTGTTGCAGACCCAGCCCCTGCGAATATGTACTTCACTTTTCACAGGTTTCTGAAATTTCATGGAATATTTCACAGAAATTTCCACGCGTGCAACCCTGCCTAACGGATCATTTTGATTTACATGGATCCCATTTGGACATATTTATACTAAAAGGAACTAAGCGCCCATGTCTATTCCTTTTGACGATTTTAGAGTGAGGATTTCGAATTAAATCAAATAGAACTAAGCACTGAGCGTCATCGAACATTGTGAGCATAGGACAAAAAAAAGCCTCACAGCAACGCGGGCCCGCCAATTACGTCACCGGCGCTTTATACCACTGCTTATGGACCTAACCCAAAGGCGCTTAGTTCCTTTTAGCATAAATACGTCCATTTAGCAAAAAGGAACCAACTCATTTACAGTGTTGTAAAAAAGTCGCTTCTTCATAATTATCTAAAAAAAATCCCCAGAATAGCAAGCAGTTTTGGCTTTCCACCAAAAAATTGTTAATTTGAAAGGAAAATAAGTATTCTTGTAAATTTTAATACCGGATACATATTAAGTATTTTTAAAAGAAGAGAAGAAGTTGCATGATTTTGGAAACACTGTAATCGAGCTGGTTCCTTTTTGCTGAATACGATCCACATGGTCATTTTTTAAAGAGGGATTTAGCTCTATCTACAATTTGAAGCTGGTGAATTTAAACCTTTTCCACTTTGTTGAAATTAACCAGCCTTCGATTTGTTCACAAAAAGTGCACATACATAGTTGAAGTGGCACATCCGAGGTTCGAGAATAAGTCAACAAACTTTAAAACCTCCAAGTGTAGACGTCTGCTTAGCCCAGATTTTTCTTTGGGGGGGGGGGATCCTCCTAAAATTCGAGTCACGTGACCATTGGTAAAGTCGGAATTTATCTAGTGGGAAGGAAGGGGGATTAACATTTTTCCGCTCCCTAAAATTATAATTTCTTACAGTGAGCCGTTCGGAATGACTTTCAAATTTCTCTTTTAGACTTGCTAAGTAAACGTATGTTACTTTGTTGCAGTGCGGGAGCGAAGGGACTGCAAGGATGCAAAATGAAATTACATAAGTAGTGCTGAAATACGAAATATCAACGAATATTCTAGGACTATGGGCACAGCCTGTTATAATTAACTGAAAATTTGATGAGGGGCCTCATTTTTAGCCAATTAGACTCAAACTTTTTCCCCTCTTTTCAAATTTTTTTTTTTTTTTTTTGAAGAAATGTTATTTAAAAAACGTAACTATACATCAAGAACATTATTTCTTGTATTTATCTACATGATTTAAATAAAACTAAATTAATTTCATTAAATATGCAGAGTAACGTTAGAAAGTAAAATCACAGGAATTATAAAATTCTCTGTCTTTTTTTGAATTTTTTTATTCTTCAAAATTAAGATTTAATTTTTTATAAGATGCATTTCAATGTTATTGAAATGGGTCCATTGCAGAGGTCAAAATATTTCATGGAATTTCACGGAATCTCATACTGTAATGTTTTATGAAATTTCACATCTCTGAGCCTTTGGCTGTTGAAATGGAAATGTGGAGACAGGGTTGCAATTTTTCATGAAAAAATTTCGAGTGAATAATTTCATGAAATATCAAAAATGTATGATAGGTATTGAAAGGTACTTTTCGAAATGAAACGCAAACCGATCGGGTCCTTTCGGCACGGAAAAAAATAACTTTTCGGGAGCACTGACCGATGTGTTCTTGCATTTGGGCACAAAACAGGTCTTGTAGATGGGTTTCATCGCAAAAACCAATAAAAAACACTTCTGAACAGCACGAAAAACGAAGTCGGGACGACGAAAGTTTACACAGTAAGCAATGGGGCTCCAGCAGGCCGACGGCGGACAGCCGCGAGTTGACGTCACGAAGTACCGGCGTGAGCGCGAAATTCAAATTCGAACTGGATCCCAAATTTCATTTTCAAATTAAAAAATGTTCCCGATCTCAAAAAAATCGGAAAAAATTCCTGGAAGGTCAATTCATCCCCTACTTTCATAAAATGAATTAAAAAAAATAGGTGCAAATTCTCCATTATGTTCTTGGCATTTTGGTGTTCTTATGTGGTGTCGCATAGCCAGCTCCTGAAAACTTGTGTCATATTTTGCTTATTTTTGTTAGCTTTGTGAAATGTTTTGAAATATTTTACTGGTAAATCTTCAATGTTTTCCATTTTTCGTTTTGGTCGTGAGGTGCAGCGCAGCCCTATGTGGCAACAGGGCTGTGGAGTCCATAGTAGGTGCTGCATTGGCGGGCGTTTTTGAAACTAATCATATGTTTTGCTAACACTAGCGCTCCTAGGCGGTGCCCATGGAAGTCACGGCTCAGAACCATTGACGTATAATACAATCTAGACCGCGCATTGGGCCCGACTTTAGGCGGGGAAGGTAAGACAGCTAGGGGGGTAAAGACGCGCCTTCAGCCTAGTTGATACCGCCGGATATACGAGCTAAGTGTACCCGTATCAGGCAACGGCACTGGCAAGACTGGCATTTCCACGAATTCCACCATTGTCTCGCCGGTACACTTGCTGTGTGTTGCTGGGTTGCCTATCGTCTCGCTTGAATTTCGTAATGCGCGGTCTAGATTGTATTATACGTCAATGCTCAGAACTCACGAGTGAAGTGGCGAGTGGATTGCTAAAGTCGACGTTGGGTTGACGTAGGTACGTGGTACTGATAATAACCCAAGTCAACCCCCTGATAATAGAACAACGGTACAAGTGCGTTTTTTAAATTTAGTTTAATATTCTAATGGGGGATTACAAGTTCAGTGTCAATTCTAGTGTAGTGACTTCTGTGGATTTTCCTGTGAGTACGTCCAACTCCCTATTTTTCACCACTCCTACTTCAGTGCCGGACAGCTTAGCCAATTTCCAACACCCTTCAATTATGCAAGATGACTTAATCATCGAAAAATCGTCGCGCGTCATCAAAACCCAAAATGATGTGAACGAAGATCTATCCAAATCCAAAGACGACTGCATATCTTTAGTTAATATCGGGAACGGTACGAGTGATAAGCCTAACGATCAGAATCAAGTAGGAACTGTTGTTTCAGCACCGTTGCAATTACCAAGTGGCTTTGCTGTTTCCGAACCGGTTATCAATTCTACTAACTCTACGTCAGGTACTCTCTGGTCAGCTGCTCCAATCGAAGACACACTCATGCATAGCTTGAATGTGCCCGGTGTCAACGGCACCTTAACGTTTCAGAATTTTCCTCAGACGAATCCTAATACCCTCTACAATTCTAGTCTCGGTCCGCAGATCTCCGGACTGTCCCAGTCGCAGCAGCAGCAACGCCGTGCTATTACTGCTACTCATAATTTCCCGCATAATCTTTCGCGACATATGCAGCAGCAAAACCATCCTCAGAATCTGTTCATGGCCAATAAAAGTTATTCGACATGGTCGAATCCTCAGCAGAACACCACTTGGTCTACGATGACTCAGAGCCCTGCTAATATCACCAGTCTCTCGTCATGGAACCGCGGTCGCTCAGTCCCGAATTTGAATCCACTCCAACAGTTGGCTAACCGTAAGCCAAGCCCCACGTTCAGTCAGCACTCCGGTATGGTGATTTCGCCTAAGTTTCGTCGCAGTACTTCGTACCCTGGAAAAAATTTCCTCCCGCAAAACCCAGGCTTTGACGTGACAACCATCGACGAAAACCGGGATCTCCTTGCTTATCAGGTAAGAATTTTATCCACCTTTATATTTTGACCCTCATAAATTTAATTTTAATCATTTCCAGGCAGATTTTATGAGAGAAATGGAAGCTGTTGCCATAAACATTTCCTCTTGTTTTTTATTATTTTTAACCTTAGTTCGCCTGTAAGTAAGTAGCAATAACCAAATCAGTCACTCTCTAAAAAGCTCAAGCCCTAAAAATGAAAGTGTTTACTTGAAATAAAGCCAAAACTGTTTTAATTATTCTATCTTGAATAGTATAATTTAGACATGCATGAGAGGAGGGCACCTAAATATCAGGTAGTTGCGTTCTTAGAAATGTCTTATGACTTCAACTGGAGATGTAGGAAAAAACTATTCGGCATTTGAGCCCTGTTGCGAATGAGCTGACAGAAGTCAACATGTCTTCTCTCTTTAAGGCTAAAGGTACCCAAGTTCGCAGTGAAAAAGTCAGTATTTCTGCTCGTCCTTGTACTACAATATACTTACATGCATTCCTAAGTACTAACAAATTGCCAAAAACCTGAGTCTTGATTATTTAGTGCTCGAGCTTTGAGAATAACTGACTCTCATGGCAGTATACTTTTCTTTCCCAGCCATGCGACTAATTCGTAATACCTCTCATTGAGTCCAATGTGAAAGAGCCATTTGAATTTCACCAGAAAGGTGATTTTTTCAATCAGTCTGGATTATTTAAATGCGTGGTGGTGGTGTCGGGCATTAAAATTTGCATATCGATGGCTTAAGTGTGAAACTACATATCTCCGTTTGCGACTTTGCAGACTTCCTGTCATACTTTATTTTTTCCGGGCAAAACTGGTCGACGTAATTTCTTGAATACTTCCTCGATTTTTCTTTTATGTATGTTAGCAGAATATTCAGTTCAAACTTTAAGCTATCAAGTTTGGTTGTTTCTTCTCCAAAAAGCAATGTGAATATTCTGAACTACTCTCGCGTATGCTAGGAATATAAAAACTCGCCTCTTAAAATGGAGCCTTTCCGCAAAACGCACCGCGTTTAGCATAAAAGACCCAAACCATATCAGCTATTGCCAACTTTAACTGTTTTACAGGAGAACGTTTGTGCGGATACTGTTGAAAATTTTCAGAATTTTGCTTCTTACTACCTAGGCAGAAAATTCACTGATTTTTTCACTAATATCCGCGCTGCCGTTTTCGAGTGAAAAATCTAATTGCCCAGTAAAATTTTGCAAAAGCTAATGCGGCTTGGTTCCTTTCTGCTTAACGCGGTCCACATTTCCCACCAATTTCAAAAGCGACAACCTGTTTCTTTTTATTTCCTTTTGACCTTTGACTGTAGAAAATGTAGGTATTCTTGATGCAGAATGGAGATAGATACTTGCCTAGACTTTTTTTTATTTATTATTGAATTATGTTCTCAAACTTTTGTTCAGTTCACTAGTTAGGAGAATTTGACAACCTCTTAACTCAATATCAATTTCATCGCCATTAAGATGGACTCGCTGTAGTTGAATCGGTCCATGACACAACCAAACATGTTCATTATCTGATGAACTCTAGAACAGATGGCTTCTTATTGACCGCGAAACTCATCAGAATACGGACCCATGTTAGGTTTAAACATCAACCGATTAAATTATCAAGATGGCCCAAAAAAAATTCTCAAACTCCCGCAGGCGCCAGGCTCCAGCACAAAAGTCAATTTTTCGTGGTTTTAACATTTAACTTGCTGTCCTCTGTCCTTGAGACACCCTCACGATAAAGCCAAACCAGGGTGGGTTGATTAAAAGAAAAACTGGAAAGATTTTGACATTTCTGTGAAATATTTCATGAAATTTCACGAGGCTGTGAGGTATTTTATATTTTTCAGGGGCCATAGTAAGCAATCTGTACTCAAACACACAAAAATTAGTGAAAGTCACAATTTTCATATTTTGCGAAACACGAAGAGGAACCGGTATTTTTCAATATCGTTCATTTCCTGAAATTTCAAGATTTTAATTTTCATGAAAAATATCCCCCCTGCTGAAACCCCGATAAATTTAGGGTTTTTCCGTCCCCCTCACATCAGCGCCTCTAAAAATCAGAAAATTAGCACCTCTACTTTTTCTCCAGTCGAATTGATCGGGAACACTGTCTCATTATCAGCTGGCTAGGTCTGTCAAGTGGTCAGTGCGTCTGACTCTAGATCAACAGGACCTGTGCTCGAATCCCGGTACAGTAGCAACCAATTTTCACGGAATTAACGAGTGGATCTGCGGAAATAGAGTCCCTCTTGTGCACCCTGTAAAAATGAATAATATCCTTTTTCCATGTTGGACATGAGATCAGATCGTCTATAATTATAGGGTTTGCCTCTAAGTTCTGATCTTATTTGACTGGGTCTACGAGTCGATTGAGATCGACTACTACTAGTAGACTCTACTAATTTTTAATGTGCAGGGTTGCTACAGTCAGGGAAAACGGGGAAATGTCAGGGAATTTTTAAAAGTCAGGGAAAACCGGGAAATAACGGGGAAAATTTGTTAACTCACCTTTATTTGCTTTCTAGAATGGGTTTGAGGTTTCGAACAGCAAATTTTGCCTGAAAACTATTTTCAATTTTGCCTTCTCAACCATCCATCACGTCTTCAATTGTCAGGGAATTCCACCAAAATGTGTCAGGGAAATCAGGGAAATGTCAGGGAACATCATTTTCTAAATTCTGTAGCAACCCTGTCTTACGTCAAAATTATCGATAACGTTTTTTTCCCCCTTAGACATTTTTGTTCAGCAGAGCTAGGTACCTATTTAATGCGCCTTCAATTTTGCAAGGTATGCCACCCGAGCTCCTACGACTCAAAATAGTGGTATGACCCAACCAAACCTAAGCCAGTCTTCTTAAACGGTGAATTCGTGCACCTTCATTTGATGGAAGCTTATATATTTTGTGTCAGAGCGGTAATTGCTGTTGTTATTGCTCTTCTTCCTCCTCCTCTTCTTCTTTATCTGAAAGCCCCGCTCACAAGAAAAATGATAGTCTACTTGAATCAAATCGCGCACAACGATCTTGGCAGGCTTCTTAATCGATCAGTGTTCCTTTCTCACCCTGTGTCGTTCAAAGCACTATAAATGTACACCAGCTAAGCCGAAGTACTGCGATTGAGGTTTCCTTATTTTCATATCGGAGCGACTGTTACAGTAACGTATACTGCGCGATTTGTTTCAAGTAGAAGTTTGTTTTCTCATGGGCGGGAGGTTCGAATGAACACATTGAAATACGTCAAATAGCTCGGTTAGTTGCAGTAATTTTCGTTGCGCGAATCGTGCTATGCGTAAAATTTTGGTTAGAAACGTACATCATGCTTCAAGTCATACCCCGTCTACTGGTGCATTGGTTCATGACAGCATGGCGGGCGTGGAGCTGAATCCGTGGCATGGCGTGCTTTGCGATAAATCGATTGATCTGCTGTTTACATCTATGGAAATGGATCGTTTAACAGGGTGTTCGCAACCCCTTAATAATCGATTCTTCTCCATTGCTTCAAACGGGGGCGTATCGGTAATCGATCGTTCATGCCTCGCCACCGGATCGGCAGTTCGGCACCGTTGCATTCTTGACCAAATTACAACTCTCGATTTAGACCTCGCACTTCACACCTCAGCTCGGCAATTCGAAATGTTTATGGCTTCTGGGCCAGACGCTCTACGGAGTGGTCAAATTTTTTGTCTAGATATATTAATAGTAATTTGTTTTAAAAAATTTTAAATTTTCCCCCTCGTAATACCTACCCCACAAGCCAAGCTGAGACTCCCACGGTCAGACCCCACTACAAAATTTTCCACTTTATAGATGATATAACATTATGTCGATCGTACGCAGAACACCAGGATGGCAAAATTTCATGAAAAATAAAATGGATGGCATTTTGCAAAAAGGAACCACGAGCATTGCAATGATGCTAAGATTGTGCAAATTCATCCTTTGCAGTAAAATAACTGAAATCATAAAAAAAGATGAAATTTACATGGTAATTTTTGTCTTAGATTCACAGTTTTCAGCGAATAAAATAGAAACTGTCAATGGATAATCAGGTTTTCTTTCAAGACAAAAGAAGTTGCACAATCTTAGCAACATTGCAATGCTCGTGGTTCCTTTTTGCAAAATGCAATCCAAATATTGAAATATCACGTGAAATATTTCATGAAAGACCAGAAATTTATAAAAGATAGGTACCGGAAAATACCGGTTCCTTTTCATGTTTCAGAAAATGTAACAATCGTGACTTTCTTCTAATTTTGTATATGTTTGAGTGCGGGTGGAATACTCTAGCCCCTGAAAAATGTGAAATATTTCACAGCCTCGTGAAATTTCATGAAATAGGTATTTCACTGAAATTTCCAATCTTTCGTTTCTTTCCTACGTTTCATGCCACCCTGTCCAAAGCTGCAGTTCCCTCCCATGAGACCCGAGTCTGCGGGCCTTGGTTTGAAACTCAACACGTTTGAGATAGTACGACGATAGACGATGGACAATTCCTCTTTTTCGACTCGAAGCGGCGCGGCGTGGCGTGCTTCGCGATAAATCGATTAATACGCCCTTCAAATCCATGTAAATTGATCGATTATCAAGGTCTTCGCAATGAACACTAGAATAATCGATTCTTCACCATAGCCTCAAATAGGAAAATATCGATAGTGGATTAAGACGCTGGAGTCTTGAGAAGAGGCTGGCAGGAATTCCGGTGCGGTGTTGTTGTTTCATCGCCGGTGTTTACGATTTTCTGTTTTCATTTCCAAAGTGAAGTTATTTCCCCGACGCCCGACGCAAGCCCCGGCCGAGACAGGGGTCAACGGAATAGAGCAGCGCGACGACCTCCAGTCTCCAGTTCAGAGTTCTGCCGTGCTAAGGAAGAACGCCGTATGAACCTTCAGGCGTTGCCAAATTTCCTCTAGCAAGGCACAAATTTTCCAGGAAAATTTTTGAATATTTTTCTGCCAATTTCCAAGATACTTCCGTTTGAAATTTGATCCAAAGTGTCT